CCCCAAAACCCCAAAACCCCAAAACCCCTATTTAGGTATTTTATCCTGAAAAAAGTTAAAAATTAAATAATTTTGTATAAAAATAGCCATGAAGCCTATATCAAAAGAGCAAGTTAGGAAGATTCTAGTGTCCTCGTCGTTAGACAAGAGTGACCTAGACTCCTATTTTGATTGTCCCTTGCCAACATATTCAGAATTTCCTGAAGAAGACAAGGGTAGGCTGTTCCTTAAATTTTAGGCTGGCTTGGCATTGCTAAAGGAATATTGGTGAAAGACTCCCCATACAAAAGAGGTACATTCATTTCAAATTTTTAGCCATCCAGGCAGCCAAGTATTCAACTAGGAAGGAGAGAGAGTGAAATGGCATGAATAGTAAGTACTTTAGATCCGGTTTGCTCTCTATTAGATAAATAGAAAGAGTTTATTGATTGATTTAAATTTCATCAACTTTTACCTTTTCAAATAAATTTAATAAATTTTAAAACACTACAAGTTTATCCGGTTGTGTAGGTCCCAAGAAATCCATAGAAGTCCAGCTAAAGAAACTGGCATCAACAACAAATGACCAAAGCATTTTTAAAAATATGAATAAATAGCAGATATGAAGAAACAGCCAGCTCTAGTCATGTAATTTATTACTTGAATGTTGCTATTTGAGGATGTGATAATGTTTTAACTATTTTTTACTAATCTATCTTTGCGTTCTCCTTCCTTAGCTAGTGTAAGCAGCTTTTGTTGTTTTGAGTCGCTAATGACTTAAATATATGAACACTTAAAATATAACCTGAATAGCGAACAAAACTTATTTTGATGAAATTTTTTTATTTTTGATAGGCTAGAAGAGATAGCTTAGGACATGGTATCATAAGATCTAAAGGATTAATAACAAAGCGAAGAAGAAGGATAAGAGATTATATTCAACAAAAGAGCTCAAAATCAACCAAACCTGGAATAAAATCTCTCCAAAACGAAATAAACACCAGTAAATTTTCACCTTGACCTCAAACAGAGCAACAAGGACCAACAAGACCCGCAAAAAGTACTCTCCAACCCGTTAAGGTCATAAAATAAACGAACCACCAACCACCAGCATAACTTATGCCAAACTTTCTCCCAAGATCTGTACAGAACACGTAACTATACCCCTTCCTTTGCTCTAAACTTCATCCCATTCATCCAAACCCCATATAACCCTTAAATAATTGCCATAAACCTAACTCCAAAACACCCTGTGCACCCTTCCATACCCAAACCTAACTCAGCCACTAAACCCCTCTAGGCAAAGCATGTTCAAGCTTAGAACCCACAGGCCCTACAAAGCACACACAGAAGTTCAGGAAAAGACCCTAAAAAGACGCCTGGACATGCCCTGCCTACCTCTAAAGGGGTACTGCATAAGTACTCGAACAATATCACATTCTCAAGAATATGTAAGCTATTTATGGATTTTTGTGCGTAGATTTTTGAAATTTTAAGGGATTAGGAAGAAATTTATGAAGAGATTTGGGATATAGCTGGGAGGGAGTACTGGCTGGGAGGAAACTCTTGGGTGGAGTAAGGGTCGCATTGGGTTAAGACCTTTGGGGCAGAAAGGGGATTTTGGTTATAAGTTGAGATATTTTAGTGGATATGGGGTTTAGTTGGATTGAATTCTGCCTTTTGGCTGGGATGTGTAATAGTATCTATAGATACAAAGAAGTTAGGCTCAACAGATAAGGGAGAAACCTAACTGGCGATTTTAAGTGCAGTAAATCTGTTAAGGGTAATAAGGCAAAAAGAGATGTAACCTCCAGTAAATGTATAGTTTAAGGGTTTTGAAAAGGCAGATTCTATTGACTTTGCTTCACTGTGTGATCTGCCGAAGACTCCTGAAATGAGTATTTTAGAGTTTTGAAAATTTGAGAATTTGAAAAGATTTGGAGGACTCAAAGGTCAGATCTGAAGAGAGGAAGTTTTAGCTCAAAGCAGGTAAGAATATTCATTTGATTTATAGAAATGAATGAGAAGTAAGTAGCTTTCTATGGCTTCACAAAGGCTTTATATTTTCATCTTTGTTCTCCATGAAGCTATTAAATAGAGCAAATGCAGTTTTGGACCACCTGCAAGGAAAAATACAACAAGGTATTAGTTATTTAAAATAGAATAGACATTACAGTAAACACAGGAGTAAAAGAGAAAGATCTAGGAATCAAGATAAGAAAGAGAAGATATATGGTACCAAGCTTCTTTATCTTTAGGTAATCAACAATTATTAAGAGATCAGATTAAGTACAGAACGTTTTATAAAGGCTGTTCTTCAAGAAAGATGCGACCCAAGAATTCCCAACTAAGCAGGAGCATTGAGATATAAACCCACTTCAAATCAGGAATTTCAATATTTTAATTTGGAATAGGGGTTTTGGGGTTTTGGGGTTTTGGGG